AGCCGCTGCTGCGTGAGTGAGAGGCAGCCGCTGCTGCGTGAGTGAGAGGCAGCCGCTGCTGCGTGAGTGAGAGGCAGCCGCTGCTGCGTGAGTGAGAGGCAGCCGCTGCTGCGTGAGTGAGAGGCAGCCGCTGCTGCGTGAGTGAGAGGCAGCCGCTGCTGCGTGAGTGAGAGGCAGCCGCTGCTGCGTGAGTGAGAGGCAGCCGCTGCTGCGTGAGTGAGAGGCAGCCGCTGCTGCGTGAGTGAGAGGCAGCCGCTGCTGCGTGAGTGAGAGGCAGCCGCTGCTGCGTGAGTGAGAGGCAGCCGCTGCTGCGTGAGTGAGAGGCAGCCGCTGCTGCGTGAGTGAGAGGCAGCCGCTGCTGCGTGAGTGAGAGGCAGCCGCTGCTGCGTGAGTGAGAGGCAGCCGCTGCTGCGTGAGTGAGAGGCAGCCGCTGCTGCGTGAGTGAGAGGCAGCCGCTGCTGCGTGAGTGAGAGGCAGCCGCTGCTGCGTGAGTGAGAGGCAGCCGCTGCTGCGTGAGTGAGAGGCAGCCGCTGCTGCGTGAGTGAGAGGCAGCCGCTGCTGCGTGAGTGAGAGGCAGCCGCTGCTGCGTGAGTGAGAGGCAGCCGCTGCTGCGTGAGTGAGAGGCAGCCGCTGCTGCGTGAGTGAGAGGCAGCCGCTGCTGCGTGAGTGAGAGGCAGCCGCTGCTGCGTGAGTGAGAGGCAGCCGCTGCTGCGTGAGTGAGAGGCAGCCGCTGCTGCGTGAGTGAGAGGCAGCCGCTGCTGCGTGAGTGAGAGGCAGCCGCTGCTGCGTGAGTGAGAGGCAGCCGCTGCTGCGTGAGTGAGAGGCAGCCGCTGCTGCGTGAGTGAGAGGCAGCCGCTGCTGCGTGAGTGAGAGGCAGCCGCTGCTGCGTGAGTGAGAGGCAGCCGCTGCTGCGTGAGTGAGAGGCAGCCGCTGCTGCGTGAGTGAGAGGCAGCCGCTGCTGCGTGAGTGAGAGGCAGCCGCTGCTGCGTGAGTGAGAGGCAGCCGCTGCTGCGTGAGTGAGAGGCAGCCGCTGCTGCGTGAGTGAGAGGCAGCCGCTGCTGCGTGAGTGAGAGGCAGCCGCTGCAGAACAAATGAGAAGTTTCCATCTGTTTAAATAATGCACTGTCTTTGCATGTTTTGTGAAAACATTGCATGAACCGGAAACGGGAAAGCGGATCCCTTCTCCGTTGGTTTGGGTTGGAATCTAGTGATTATTTGTATAGAAGGAATGAACAGTTGGCACAGGGAAATGATTTATACCTGCTAGAAGGACTGTACACAACTCCTTCTGGGCAGCTGGTAGCATTAGACTGGGAAAACCAGCCGATTATACGCCCCGAGTTCGTGGGAGAATCCCCTGCTTTCTTTGTGTTCCTGTCCCCGGTAAGGGCAACTCTCACCAAGCATGGGTATTAGCAGAGTGCGTAGATTGTCGATGTCTGATAAGAGCAGGTCGAGGTGTGCAGTGTTGGGAAGAAGAGGTGTCATCAGATCTCTCGGTTGAAAGACGGGAGTCAAAGGAGAAAGAGTGGAGAGAAAGGATTTTGAGAAGGAGGAATAATAATGGAGAATAAGCAGGGAAGAATTGTAAAGAAAAGCCCATTGGATTGCATACTCACGCACTGGAAAGACATAGTGGGGAGGGGAAGCGCGGAAAGCAAGAAAATCCTGATTAAATATTGTAACCAGTGGTGGCCACTTTATAAACTGGAAGAGGAGGCTAAATGGCCACTAAATGGGACCTTAGACTCTAACACGCTTTTGCAATTAATGTTATTTTTACAGAGGGAAGGGAAGTAGGATGAGGTGTCTTATGCAGACATGTTCTTTACCCTCCAAAATCACTCGGGGTGGCAGAGGGACTGTGGACTAGTTCCACTGCAAGATCCTTTAGTGTTTGCTCTGGAAAAAGATTATAAGGGAGAAATGAAAAGAAGACTATGTTATGGTGGTGGGAGCTACTGGCCAAAGTGAAAAGGCATACTTTTGCAAACATAAATTTGGAAAGCAGTTAGGCATACACAAATTTCTGTATATGCCTAACTCCACAAAAGTGCTCCTAGGAAGAGACTTACTAGAACAATTAGGAGCAACCATTACCTTTAACAATGGAGAGATTACTCTGGAGGCAAACAACAAAGAATTTATACAAATCATGAGCTTATCTCTAACCAGTGTCCCCACAGAAGGAGAAATTAGCAAGGAAATTGTCAATCAAATGTATCCCAGGGTTTGGGCCACTGACACACCTGGAAGGGCGAAAAACTCTCTGCCCGTAGAGGTAAACCTCAAAGAAGGACAACAACCGGTAAGAATTAACCAATACCCTTTAAAAAAGGAGGATCGGGAAGGGATCCAGCCAGTTATAGAAACATTTTTGCAAATAGGATTATTAAAGGAGTGTGAATCACCTGGACGGTGCTGCCACAAGGATTTAAAAACAGCCCCACTATATTTGGTAACCAATTGGCCAAAGACCTTGAACTATGGGAAACCCCAACTCCACCTGAAGAGGGAAAGCTGCTGCAATACACAGACGACATCCTAATCGCCACTAAGACAAAAGAGGCCTGCGTTACCTGGACAGTAAGCCTTTTAAATTTTTGGGAACTTCAGGGCTACCGAGTATCCAAAAAAAAGCCCCAGGTGATGCAACGCAAAGTGATTTATCTGGGCTATGAAATCAGTGCTGGAAAAAGAACTTTAGGACAAGCTCGGAAGGAGTCGATCTGCCAGACTCTGAGGCTGCAAACAGTGAGGGAATTGCGAATGTTCCTGGAGATGACCGGTTGGTGCAGGCTATGGATCTATAACTATGGACTACTTGTTAAAACTTTATATGCACTAACTGTCACTGAACAGAAAAACCTCCAATGGAATAAGGAGGCCATACGAGCCTTTGACTTGCTAAAGAAGGCCCTGATGTCAGCCCTGGCTTTGGGACTTCCAGATGTAAGTAAACCATTCTTTCTCTTTTCACACAAGAAACAGGGAATTACATTGGGAATACAGGCACAAGACTTAGGCCCATATCGTCGGGCAGTCACCTATTTCTCTAAGCAACTAGATACAACCACTAAAGGTTGGCCCAGATGCCTACGAGTGGTTGCAGCAGTGATCCTAAATATACAGGAGGCACAAAAATTTACCTTAGG